ATAAGAGGGCACTTCCCCAACAAACCTCAAGTCATACCTCAGCAACAGAACCAATATGTGTATGCAAAGGGGGCAAACTCTTCTGCACAACCAATTACAGTTGGTGTCCCCACAGGGAAGTGTCCTTGGCCCTCTTCTCTTTCCCTATCAAAAATGACCTACCAAATGCTTCGCAATTCTAAAAACCCACACATTTGCAGATGACCTACATAGTTTTCTCCCACCCGAGCCCACCGCAGCCAAACTGAAAAATCCCGAATTACGAAAAATCTACCGGATGGGGGACTACAAACTTACACTAAACATTGACAAAAACCTATTTCATTCATTTTGGTAAAAATACAGATGCCCTTTAACATAATGATAAAGGATCACCTATCACAAAGCAACAAGGAAAATTCTTGGAATCCACCTTGAAAATAGACTCAAATTTCATACACATATACAACAAATTTCTAAGAAAATTTCCAAGACTGTAGGCATACTATCGAAGATACGGTACTATCTCCACATCAGCCCTCCTGGCCCTATATCATTCTTATTTCCCCCTATTCACCTATGGAATTTGCAGGGGCCAACAACAATAACCTTTCCAACACTAATTCCCCAACAAAAGGCTGCATTTTGAATGTAACAAATTCTCACTACAGGCAGCACACCCACCATATTCAATACCCCAAAACCTACTCACCATACAAAACATCCTATTTTATTACTGCACCTATTACATACATAGAAAACTTAACTCTGATTTCCCCCCCCCTCAAACATCTCCTTCCAACCTCAACAGAACACTGACCATACACAAGGCACAGATCACTCTTTTGTTCCCCTTTTCCAACCACGCTATGAAAAACCAATGCCATAAAAGGGCCCAAAATCTGGAATTCTTACCTGTAAATATAAAAGAAACGCTACCGTTTTATAAATTCAAGTCTCTTTTCAAAGATCACTTACCCCCAAAACCAAAAAAAAACTGAAAAACTGAACCTTAAAATTGTATAACTTTAATGTTTCTCACAATTATTTTACATAAATGTTAACCTAAAACCAATCTAACTTTATTATTTTTTTTTTTAAAACACTACCCACAGAATACTCCATTCACTAATTTCAGCAATGCATGCAACCCTATGACCTGTCTTTGTAATACTCACTTGTGCTTTTTTTAACTGTTTCATTAATGTTTTAAACACTATTTCATCATTTTCTTAGTTAATCTTAAGTTAATTTTAAGCCAGCCCGTAAAAGCTAGCATGTATAATGGCTTTGGCATGTGCTCTTATCTGTATTTTTTGTACCCTGTTGGTGCCAAAATTTAAAAAAAAATAAATAAATAAATAAATTTGTTTTGATTTCTTTTGTTTTGTTTGTTAATTTGTTTGATATGGTTCGGTTGTACAGTAAATCCTCCACATATTATTATTATTATTAGTATTATTATTATTATTATTATTACATAATAGACCTGGAAAATACAGAACAAAAATCCACTGGTTAATTTAGATTCAGCAACAATGACAAAGTTTGTTGGTAATATAGACCAGCTTTGCTTTACTTTGCTTTACAGCACCTTGCTTTACTTTGCTTTACAGCACTTCTCTAATGCAGCAGTTATCAATTATACCCATTCTTTATATATTCAGACTTCCTACAGTAAATATAGTCACCACTCACTATACCCTTGTGGTGTTTAGTGCTTAGCTTCATTAATTATCATAATATAATCATAATAAATCACTGCATAATTAATACAAAAATTTTTTAATGTAAGTAATGTGTGTTACTGTAATAATAATGCATTTTTTTTTTAGGCCTACTGAAATTGTTCACCTAATATATAGTATAAACATGTCATCAGGCTTTTATAAGCATTTAAAAGGTGAAAAAGAGCTATGTTTCACTTGATGCTGGTGAAGTGCTCTTGTCCTAAGGGAATTGATTTGTGCTCGCAGTTCCCTGTAACGAGCCTGACTTATTTTCCCCCCCCCACCCCTCACCCAGTTGCTGTATAACCTATGGGTTTACTTTCCCCCCATGTTTACAATAATAAAAAATAATGGTTTGTGGCAGAAGCTTGGAATGTAACCTGCTGTATATGTGGGCCCTCCCTGTTGTAATTATCATCATTGTTAGACCATAACATCTCTTCTGTCCACTAAAGGAGTGCCGTACTGCCCCTTCCTTCCCCAGTCGTTAATCCAGACTGTAGGGCCCACACATATACAGCAAAGGTTAGGATCCAGGCAACTGCTGTACAGCAAAAATTGCTGTAAAGCGAACCATAGCCTAATAACATGTTTACACAATCATATATTAAGTAAGCAATAGTTACGCTAAAAAAATGCAACATACGTACTGTATGGCACTTCAACAAACCGGCCATATCCCACCGAGGCGGGGTGGCTCTAATGAAAAACGAAATTTCTCCTTATACATTTAGTAATACAGTGGACCTCGTCAACATATCGTTAATCAAGTTTGTTAGTGTTGGTCAAGGCAAATGTAGCTTTTAAATGATCGCAGTTGGATTTACGTTTACAATGCATCGTGGTCGAGGGGTCCAGTGTATATACAGGAGAAGGGGGGACTGGGCCCCTTGCTCCGGCATTTTAGTTGCCTCTTACAACACGCATGGCTTAGGAGGAAGAATTCTGTTCCATTTCCCTGTAGATAAGAGGAATAACAAAAACAAGAACTAAAAGAAAAGAAGGAAACCAAGAGGGTGTGTATATAACTGTTTGTACGTGTATGTGTAGTTACAAAAGTGTAAGTAAAAGTAGAAACTTGCCTGAAAATCTTGCATGTTTATGAGAAAGAAAAAAAACCAGCAATCTAACCATCATGTAAAACAATTACAAGCTTTCGTTTTTACACTCGCTTGGCAGGACGGTAGTACCTCCCGGGCGGTTGCTGTCTACCAGCCTACTACCTAGAATACACATTACTTACCTTAAAATATTTTTTGTTCTCAGCTAGTGAGTGTTGGAATATATTTATTGAGGAGTTGGAAAAATGAAGAATGAGTATAATTGAAAGTCACAGCATTGGGGGAGTGCTGTAAAGTGGGGCACTCCTGTCTATTGATGGTTTACTACAAAGGGCTTCCTCAACATTCGCGAGGGTTAGGGGATCAAGGCCTCGCGAATGTTGAAAAACCGTGAATTTTTGGTGCCCCAATATATTTAGGGAAAAATATTACAATACTGCTTCCTTAACTTGTTGAACCATGAATAATCATAAAATACATGAAAACGTTATAATTGTACTAAATATACATGTTATGCTTTAGTAACATATGTTATTTTAATAACATGTATGTTAATAACATGTATGTTATTAAATGCCACAGGGCTCCACCACTGCCTCCACCATTGCGAGTCCCTACTACCCTCCCTCCGACCCCCCCCAACTGGCAGCCAGTCCCCCCACCACTCAGTGTGGGGAGTGTTTTGTTTGTTCTTATTTGCTATTAAACTACAGTATAAATAATGTAAACCCCTTCATGACTGCTATTGGAATGGCTATTCGGACAGGTATTTGACGGTGACATCATGTGTTTACTCTTGAACCTCAAAGAATCTAACATTTCTGCTATTGCTAATAATAACAATAGTAATAATAATAATAATAATAATAATAATAATAATAATAAATACGATATAATTGAAGAAGGAAATTGTACAAAAATACGAGGGAGTGGTTGACACATCGTCAGTGTGACTTTGTTTATGCTGGAGTGAACATTAGTCTCCCTGCTCTTCCAAACATTTCACAATAATTCAGCGGTTGAGGCAGTGGTATTTAATAACATATGTACTATTATTATTTATAACATATATGTTATTAAATACCACTGCCTCAATCACTGCCTCTACCACTCCAGTCACACTCAATCTACAAGCACCAAACACAATGATACACAAATAACCCGCACATAAGAGACTAATGTTCACTCCAGCATAAACAAAGTCACACTGATGATGTGTCAACCACTCCCTCGTATTTTTGTACAATTTCCTTCTTCAATTATGTCATTTTTATTATTATTATTATTATTATTATTATTATTATTATTATTATTGTTATTGTTATTGTTATTATTGTTATTATTATTATTATTATTGTTATTATTATTATTATTACTACTATTGTTATTATTAGCTGTAGCAGAAATGTTTAATTCTTTGCAGTGTTCAAGAGTAAACACATGATGTCACCGTCTAATACCTTTCTTAATAGCCATTCCAATATGCAGTCATGAATGGGTTTACATTATTTATACTGTAGTTTAATAGCAAATAATGAACAAACAAAACACTCACCACACTGAGTGGTGGGAGGGCTGGCTGCCAGTTGCGGGGGTCGGAGGGAGGGTAGTAGGGACTCGCAGGTGGCAGGAAACTTAAATATGATTTGGCGGCTGGGAATTTGGTGGCTGGGAATTTGGCGGTTGGGAATTTGCGAATGTGTGATGCCCGTGAAAGTTGAAAGCGTGAATGTTGAGGGAGACCTGTATATTTTTTTTTACTGCAGTGAGCACTGAGTTTTGTAAATAACTTGGTTAACTTTGTTAGTATTGTATCTCCTTTTATTATAACTGATTTTTACACAGTTGAGTTACTTAGCTGTTTTACAAGGACTTCAATGGAAATAAGTCATATTGTCTGACTTTTTTTGGTTATCCTAGGTAATTAATACTGTGTATGATAATTGTACCTATGTGTACCTGTGATTAAATAAACTTATAGTCAAATTGCTCTGAAAACATAACTACTACAACTACTGTACTATTATGTATAACTGCAGCAAGACCTAACTAGATTAAGGAAGTGGAGTAAAAGATACATGATGTAATTTAATGTGGATAAGGACTTGGTAATACTGTACTGTGTAATAAAAGCTAACATTTTTTCCTATTGGTTGTATGCTTTATAATGATTTCTTCTCATATTGGTGCATTATACTGTACTTTCATACATATTTCTTTACATTGACAGAAAATACATCAAGATGAGTGTCAACACTAACTGGGACATTGAATCCTACCGTGCTCCATATGAGAGTGGTGAGCACTGGGCCTTGAAGCAGGAATTTATGGAAGCGCATAAATCAAGAATACCAGAAGACCGTCTGGTGTGCTTAGCTCAAGTGTTTGTCAATATTGAACTGTTGGGTTGTAGGTGAGTAGATACTCAGTAGTACCACAAGTGCATAGACATGATAGTTTCAAGTGACCTGAACTGTAACATTCCCATCCCTCCTTCAGAGTGCAGATACTGTACTTCTCACTGCCAGGACTCTGGTCTGGCTGACTGGTTTTTATGAATACCTTCATAAATGTTGCCATCCTCACACACCAACAGCACGTCTAGCCATGGAAACTATTGTCTCTATTCATTTCACTCTTAACTCTCTCGCACAAGCCTGCTGAATGTTCAAGTCCTCAAGTATTCAAACCAGCCTCTACTTCCTCTCTTAGATCTGATATCTGATATTTTGTATACTGTATCAGCCTTAATTTCGAGACATACAGTAAAGCCTCATGATGTGGGGGGGGGAGGGGATATGTATCAAAATTGTTAGGTAAAATAGCATTACATGAAGTAAAGAAAATTTGGAAAAAAGTTGTTCCACACACCTCAAAATTTACCATTTTTTTTATTACTGTGCTAGGTAAAAATTGCTGTTTACAGCATAAATTACTACACATTCTAGTAGTGTTCAGTTCTTCACTTTGAAGGGTAGGGAGAGGACTAATGTTTATCTACTGGGCTGAGGTGGATGACTGTAGGTCTTGTGTTGATGTTGATGCAGAGTTGTCAGTACAGGTCCTCCATAACAAATCCGGCGTCATTGGGACTTGTAGTGTGCCGGATTACTGAGTTTGCCGGTTTACAGAGTGGTTAGGTTAGAATACACCTAATAAAATTAACAAACTTGACTTGCGCAAAAATCGAACATTTCTGGTACTTTGAGGTCAATTTCAAGGTACTTTTCGTCATGAAAGCAATCAAAATCATGTCTATTTCTGTAATATATCTTCCATTCTATCAAGTGAGTCCAAAAAAATGAGAATACAACCATAAAAACCATACGAAAATATACTGCAAAGAGGCGGCTAATGGCTGAGAAGTGAACTCCCTTATTTATCATCCATCTTTTTTATTTTTGTTGTACGTTAAGAAGCATCTTTCCATCATACATTGCCCAAGTTTCAATGAGATAGCCCAACAAACAACCGAGAAAAAAAAAATATTTACCAAAAATCATATATGGCAAGCCCAAGCCAGGTACTGGAAATAAGTCACTTTGTCTGACTTTTCTAGGTTATCCTAGGTTCTCTGTACAAACACTGCTATGTATGATAATCTATGTAACTGTATTTATGTATACCTGAATAAACTTACTTACTTCTAGTCTGTCAACTGAGTACAAGAAACTGCCCATTCACTTATTTCAACTACCCAATAAAGTGGTCAGAAATTGGCAGTTTGGCCAATTTTACACAAATTTCAAGATTCCAATTTCAAAATAGGGTCCAGAATAAACAATACAGACATTCCTGGCACTAAAATAACATTTACTCTGTTCATTAGTCATGGCTCCAGGCCCCTCTTATATTACTCTTGCTTACCATTTGGAATTTTTATTCACACAAAAAAAATAGAAGATTTACTGTTATGCAGACTATTGCATTATTGTAATTGTATAAATAATGTCAACCCAGACTACGTATTGGAATTTTGACTGGCAGACGGACAGGTATTGAACGGTGACGTCATTTGTTTACTCTTGAGCTTCGCTAAAGAACAGAACATTTTCGCTACTGTGAGCGCAATTTCAAGGTACATACTTTTCGTCATGAAAGCAATCAAAATCATATCTATTTCTGTAATATATGCAGTGGACCCCCGGTATTCGATGGCATCGGTATTCGATAAATCCGGTATTCGATGCATTATATCGCAAAAAAATTTCCTCGGTATTCGAATGAAAACCCGGTATTCGATACGATTCGTATGAGACCTGTCCACGTGTGGCCTGAACTGCCCCGTGTGTGCCAGTGTTTACAAGCCAGCCAGTGTGCGCGCATCTAAGGATACATTCGGTACATTCCATATTATCACTGTGTTTGGTGCTTGTTTCTGCAAAATAAATCACCATGGGCCCCAAGAAAGCTTCTAGTGCCAACCCTGTGGTAAAAAGGGTGAGAATTAGTATGGAAATTGAGAGATTTTGAAGGGTTTGGGGCTAATCCTGAGAAGCCTATGCCAGTTGTGGAATCCATTGTGCCTACTTCAAAAATTAAGGAAATGTGTGCACAGTGGGTTGAAGTGCAAACCTTTATGGATGAAAATCACCCTAACACAGCTATTGCAAGCCTTGCTGGTGACTATTACAATGACAATGTTGTGGCCCATTTTAGACAAATCGTAAAGGAACGGGAGGTACAGAGCTCTATGGACAGATTTGTTGTGCGACAGAGGTCCAGTGACT